CTTCTCACCACACCACACCCAGCCTGGGTGCAGTCTGGCTGGGGTCCTGGCTTCGGTGCAGCCAACGTGGGGCAGGTTGGTTCTGGACCTAGGCTGCCTCCCTGATGCCAGGGTCCTAACGCCTCTGGGGTCCTGCTGCCTGTGTCCACGTGCCCACGCCCTCTCTCTGTCTCAGTTCTAGCCACCTGCCCACCATGGCCTCCGCTGACAAGAATGGAGGGGATCTCTCCTCTGCGTCTGGTAGCCGCCTGCAGAGCCGGAAGCCACCCAACCTGTCCATTACCATCCCACCGCCTGAGGCGCAGGCCCCCGGCGAGCAGGACAGCATGCTGCCTGAGGTGAGGGCACGACCAGGGGCTCACTGCCCTGCCCTGGGCAACAGGTGTGCCCGTATGACACCTTTTGGACTGTTGCACGAGGACCCCAGAGGGTCCTCCTTCCTGAGCCACAGCCTCCCCCAGCCTTGCCCTCCTTCCTGGATCATAAAATATCTAAGGAGCGGGGCCCTGAGATCGGCAGTGCCATCTCCTAGGGCGCTGGGGAACGGGGAGCCTTGTTGGCAAGCCGGCACACTGAGTGCTCCCGCCCAGGAGTGCCTCTTCTGAGGGCGGTGAAGGGCTGAGCCAGCCCAGTCCTGCGGCTCCGGCAGCCCACCTCTGCAGCCCTGGATCCTGCAGAGGGTGGACATGGATCAACACTGCATGTGGACTCTTGCCACATAAAGAGCTCATTGAAAGATGGCCCCAAACAGCGTGGGCTCCCACACAGCCTGGAACATAAAGGGGAGCTATGTTAACTCCGCCTGCTCACCCCAAGAGTTCTGTAGAACACATGAAAGGGGAAAGACCATCCTGGGTATGGGAAGGCTCTGGACCCGGGAGTGCATGCTCTGGTTCCCTGGAAAACATTAGAAAATGATGATTTTAAATCTGAAAGGTTGGGGCTGTGGTAGAGTCCTTGCGTAGCATGTGTGAAGCCCTGGGTGCCTGATCCCCAGCAATGCAAGAAAAGAAAAGAAAAAAAGAAAAGTTAAGTCTGGAATGAAGCGTTGGAGTTGTGGTAGAGCCCTTGTCCCGCCTGCACGAGATCCCGGTTCAGTGCTGCAAAAGATAAATAAGTCAATGAATAAACTCAGCACAAAAGCAGCCAGGCTGTGGAGGGGGCTGGGCTTGCACAGAAGCCAGCCTGCAATTGAGGCCACACATGTCACCACCTGTCCTCCCTTCCATCCCACAGAGGCCCAAGAACCCAGCCTACTTGAAGAGCGTCAGCCTTCAGGAGCCCCGGGGACGATGGCAGGACAGCACGGAGAAGCGCCCTGGTTTCCGCCGCCAGGCCTCCCTGTCCCAGAGCATCCGCAAGTGAGCACCCCTGCCCCACGGGGCCACCTCAGCGGGCTGTAGGTTCTGGGCCCCCGAGTTGGCTGGGCCTGGCTCTTGCAGCCCCTCTCCGGAGGAGTCGGCAGGCTCCCTGCAGAGGTGGGACGTGAGAATCTCATGTCGTGGTCTAGATGGCAAAACTGAGAGCCAGAGATGTGTGCCTCAGAAAAAGTCACTGAGGCTGAGATGGTTCCGGGAGCTGGGGGGACCTCTGCCCTGTTCCTCATGTCACAGCCTTTACTGCACCCCTGGGGGCCAGATTTAAGCCAGGGGCTCAGGGAGGGCTGACCCCCTCCCGTGAAGCACAAGGATACAAGTCAGGCCCACGGGTGCACACATGCTGTCGGCCCCTCCCCGTCACCTCCCTGTACCAACGTGCACTGTCACCCTCACCTCTGCACACACGCTCCTGTGGTCGGCGTGTGTGGGCACCAACCACACCCTGCTGCTCCTGCAGGGGCACAGCCCAGTGGTTCGGGGTCAGTGGCGACTGGGAGGGCAAGCGGCAGCACTGGCAGCGCCGCAGCCTGCACCACTGCAGCGTGCGCTACGGCCGGCTCAAGGCCTCATGCCAGAGGGACCTGGAGCTCCCCAGCCAGGAGGTGCCGTCCTTCCAGGGCATCGAGTCACCAAAACCCTGCAAGATGCCCAAGGTGAGCTGATGGCCGAGGGGCAGCTGGACGGCTTTCCCCAGTAGCTGGGTCAGCTCTGCTCACCTTCCATCCCTTCCAGATTGTGGACCCGCTGGCCCGGGGCCGGGCCTTCCGCCACCCAGATGAGGTGGATCGGCCCCACGCACCCCACCCACCACTGACCCCGGGAGTCCTGTCCCTCACCTCCTTCACCAGCGTGCGCTCTGGCCACTCCCACCTGCCTCGCCGCAAGAGGGTGTCTGTGGCCCACATGGGCTTCCAGGCTGCTGCGGCCCTCCTCAAGGTGAGGCCTCCTGCAGGCTGCGTCTCCACTGCCCTCTCCCCACCCAGAGATGTCCAGAGCTCGCCAGGTGTGTGGCTCCTCTGCAAGGGCAGTGGGTGTACTGGGCCTCTTGGGCAGAGGAGGACCCCGAAGCCCAGAGCCAAGCTGGGTCCTTCAGGCCCCACTTCCATGCGAGCCCCTCTCTGCTCCCCTAGTTTTGGGAGTGGGATTCTGTGCCCGCTTGTAGAGTGAGGAAGTAGAAAGTGTACGCGCCACTCACCTGCCTGTGTTGACTGAGCCCCCGAGATGTGCTGGGCATTGGGGGGTGCCGGGTGAGGGAGATGTCACCATCAGGGTGGTAGACTCAGTGGGGGCTGGTGTCAAGAAAGGCCTTGGGCTGGTCCCAGAACAGTAGGGGAACATCAGGGAAGGGAGGGAGGGAGCAGCCTTCTCAGCCAGGGAGTGGCCTTGCCAAGGCCCGGAGGCAGGAGGGAGACCACGGGAACTTTGGGGCACAGCAGTGTGAGGCAGGAGTGAGGGTATAGAACGGCTGCTTTGAGTAGTAGGGTGCTGAGGGCAGGATTGCCAGAGAGGAGCTAAGTCCGCACGCGGGAGAGAGTGGTGTGTTCAGGGCTGGAGGCGGCTGGTGCCCCGTCCTGCCTTCCACTCTCGGAGCTACTTTGGCCTGTGCACTGTCAGATGCTTTGGGCAAGATCCCCCTCCCCAGGGGCTGTGCCCAAGAGTATAACTTGGCAATCCCTTGGGGGCTGAAGATCCAGGTGACTGGGCTCTGGTCCTGATGCCCAGGCTTCTGCTACATGCCCAGGGGCGCTCGGTGCTGGATGCCACTGGACAGCGGTGCCGTGTGATCAAACGCAGCTTTGCCTACCCCAGCTTCATGGAGGAAGACGCAGTCGATGGGGCAGACACCTTCGACTCCTCCTTTTTTAGTAAGGCAAGCATGGGGTCCAGGCCCTCAGGGACAGGGGGTGGGAGAGCCTGGGAGCTGGGAGAAGTGACCTTGGCCTTGACATGTCCTGCCTGGAGCCCCTGAAAGAGTCAGAGGCCCCTGGGGCCATTGGTGGAATGGAGCGGGCCCTGCATGGAGCTGGCTGTTGGGCCCCACTGGCTGTTGGGCCAAGCAGGGACCTGGGTGGTGGCGGGCCCACTGGGAAAGTCCCTGTTAGGACTGACAGGCACGTGGCTTCCTCTGCCATCCTGAAGAGCCTGTCTGTCCAGCCTTGTTCTGCCCTTGAATTGGCATGTGGGGGGATGGAGGAAGGGACAGTAACTACTTACACTGTCCTTTTGTGCCACCCACCCCAGGAAGAAATGAGCTCCATGCCCGATGACGTGTTTGAGTCCCCCCCACTCTCTGCCAGCTACTTCCGAGGAATCCCACAGTCGGCCTCCCCCGTCACCCCCGATGGGGTGCAGATCCCTCTGTGAGTCCCTCCCCCAGCCCAGCTTGGGGCACTGCCGTGCCCTGCCCTGGCCCCTTGGAAGCCCCTAGTGGGGAATGGGGGTGTGGGCATTCAGGCTGAGCGCCACCATCCTCACCAGGAAGGAGTGTGGCCGAGCCCCAGTCACGGCCACCAGGCGCGGTAAGCGCATCGCCTCCACAGTGAAGCACTTTGCCTTTGACCGGAAGAAGCGGCACTACGGCCTGGGCATGGTGGGCACCTGGCTCAACCGCAGCTACCGCCGCAGTATCAGCAGCACCGTGCAGCGGCAGCTGGAGAGCTTCGACAGCCACCGGTGAGACCCCACCTGCAGCGAGAGTGGGGTGTGGGCAAGGGGAGAGGGATGGAGGTTCCCCTTCCCCAAGCACATCCCTATTCATTCAGCGAGTGCTTTGTGGCATCCTGGGGCCGGGAGTGTGACCAGCGTGGAGATGCACTGTGCTCAGGGAGCATGCATGCAGCCCTGGAGGCCCTCGGCGCTTGCTGCCTCTTCTCCATCTCCTGCTTCCTGGGCCTGCATCCTCAGCCCAGCTCCAGATGGCTGTCCGTCGACAAGTGTTCATTGAGGCCCCAGAACAGAACCCCCAAGAGGAGGGTGCAGGGAGGGAAGGATGGGTCAGGGAACTGTTGGAAGCTGGAGCCAAGCTAAGCGTGGTGGTGCATACCTTTAATCCCAGCAGCTTGGAGGCCAAGGCAGGAGGATCGCAAGTTCAAAGCCAGCCTCAGCAGCTTAGCAAAGCCCTAAGCAACTTAGTTGAGACCCTGTCTCAAAACAAAACTAAAAAGGGCTGGAGTGTGGCTTGGTGGTGGAGGACCCCTGGGGTCAATCTAGGGGACTAGAAGCAGCTGGAGCTGAGAGTGAGGCGGCCAGAGGTGGCCAGGCACAGAGATCCTGAGGGAAGCCAGAGTCTGGGGAAGGCGATTCTCTTAGTGTGTGATTGACAATGTGACCTGATAGACATTGGACTCCAAGTTACAAAAACCAAGCCATGACAGGTATGTGAGTGTCCTGGAGAAAGACAGAGAGTCGAGGTGGACAGCTGGTGGGGAGGAGTGCTGTCAGCATGAAGACAGTAGGGACAAATGGGAAGATCCTCCCAGGTAGCATAAAGGTCATGTGCAAAGGCCCTGGGAGTGCTGAGACCAGGGCGTGTTCCTGGAGCTGTAAGAGGGGTGTAGAAAGGAGAGGTGGGCCTGCAGGACAGGGCGTCATAGTCAGCAGTGGGCCGATTTGGCTGTCATCCCAAAGGCAGTGGGACGCCATCAAAAGTTTTAAGGTGGAAATGGATCTTACAAGCTGCTTTGGGAAGGGTGAATAGGTGAACTGGTGAATCAAGTGGAGAGCCCAGGAGAGCCCAGTGGTGGCCCTGCCCAGGCAGAGTGTGGGCTGGCTGGGTTGACCTGGCCTCTGCCCACAGGCCCTACTTCACCTACTGGCTGACCTTCGTCCACATCATCATCACGCTGCTGGTGATTTGCACCTACGGCATTGCGCCCGTGGGCTTTGCCCAACACGTCACCACCCAGCTGGTGAGTCGGGCTCCTCCCTGGGTCCCAGCTTTCCTGAGGCTTCAGCGCAGCGGGCACCAAATCTGTCCTTCCAGAAGATCCCGGCCCAGGCAGGAGGTGCTCAGGCTCACCAGAGCTTGGCCCCTTCCCAGAGGCTGGACCCTGGGGACACTGTCCCACTCCTCACCCTTCTTGCCAGCCCGGGGCTCTTGCTCTTCTGACGACCCCCCACCCTGCGCTTCTACAACAGGTGCTGAGGAACAAAGGTGTGTACGAGAGCGTGAAATACATCCAGCAGGAGAACTTCTGGGTCGGGCCCAGCTCGGTGAGTCCAGGCTGGGGTGGGGCCATCTGAGTAGGAAGCCCTGTGTCCTGCCACCCCCAGGTGCTCACCCACCTCGTGGGCCCCTCATCAGGGGAGACTCTGAATGGGGTGGTGGTGCAGTGACAGGCCCCTCCTCTGGGGCCCATGTCACCAGCTGCCCTTCTCCACCTGCAGATTGACCTGATTCACCTGGGAGCCAAGTTCTCGCCCTGCATCCGGAAGGACCAGCAGATCCAGCAGCTGGTGCTGCGGGAGCGAGACCTGGAGCGGGACTCGGGCTGCTGTGTCCAGAACGACCATTCGGGCTGCATCCAGACCCAGAGGAAGGACTGCTCGGTGGGGCAGCCTTCTGACCCCTGCCAGCCCCACTGTGGTTCTGTACCACTCTGCTCACCCTGGCCTGGGGCAGGGGCCCTTTAAGGGCAGTGACTACATTCTCTCCTTCCTCTCCTCCACCCTCACCAGTCCTGTACCCCGCAAGCACTCTGCCAGCTCAGAGGCACCCCAGCCTGAGAGGCGAAGCCAGATCTCAGGAGGGTTGGCAGGGGTGGGGTCTGGGAGGTGTGCCTGAGCCCTGGGGAAATGGAAAAGCCCCTGTTCTGGAAGGTTCCCCGTGCACACCAATGGGGTGACCTTGGCAGCATCATGACCAGACCTCCACCCTCCAGGAGACTTTGGCCACTTTTGTCAAGTGGCCAGATGATACTGCGCCCCCCATGGACAAGTCTGATCTGGGCCAGAAACGGACGTCAGGAGCCGTATGCCACCAGGACCCCAGGTACAGCCTGGAACCACCCACGGATCCAGAGTGGCCCACAACTAGGCTGTCTGAGCTTCCTACTGGGACGCTGGTTAGTGGACCTGGCTGGTTCCCCAGCCCCTCATCCTGCCCAATCTGGCCTCTGCTTCCAGGACCTGTGAGGAGCCAGCCTCCAGTGGTGCCCACATCTGGCCTGATGACATCACCTTGTGGCCAGTGAGCATCGCTGGGCAGCAGGGGGTCTGGGAAGGGCTGGGGTAGGTGCCTGTCGCGCAGCCCGCACCCTGTTGGTCCTGCTTTGCAGATCTGCACTGAGCAGGCCAGGAGCAACAACACGGGCTTCCCGCACATAGACTGCCAGATCAAGGGCCGCCCCTGCTGCATCGGCACCAAGGGCAGGTGAGCCGCCTGCCTGGAGGAAGGGGAGATGCTCCAGGGCTGAGTCCCCACTCCCTGCCTGCTGTGGCCAGCGCTGGGGTTCTGCAGGAACCCCAGATATCCTGACATCCTGCTCTTTTCTTCCTGTCCCCACAGCTGTGAGATCACCACTCGCGAGTACTGTGAGTTCATGCACGGCTATTTTCACGAAGAGGCAACACTCTGTTCCCAGGTGGAGTGAGGCCTTGCAGGGTGGCCCTGGACTGGGAACAAGGGCTGGGCTCACGTGCTCCTTCCTGCACGGGGGCCTCAGACTCAGCCTGATCCCCATGCGCCCCCACCCCAGGTGCACTGCTTGGACAAGGTGTGCGGGCTGCTGCCCTTCCTCAACCCTGAGGTCCCAGATCAGTTCTACAGGCTCTGGCTGTCTCTGTTCCTACACGCTGGGTAAGAGGTTCCTGCCCGTCCCAACCACGACCTCTGTGAGGGCCACCCGCCTGCCCCCCCGGAGAAAGGGCTCGGGAGCCAGGGCACAGCCAGCCCAGCCTGTCGGAGCCGCTGCTCCTGAAGCGCACGGCAGCTGTGGCCGACGTGGAAGGCTGATGCCTGTGTGTCCCCGCCCCCAGGGTGGTGCACTGCCTCGTGTCTGTGATCTTCCAAATGACCATCCTGCGGGACCTGGAGAAGCTGGCTGGCTGGCACCGCATCTCCATCATCTTCATCCTCAGCGGCATCACGGGCAACCTCGCCAGTGCCATCTTCCTCCCGTACCGAGCAGAGGTGGGGACTCGGAGGACAAGGACAGGGAGGGTGGGATAAGGTCCCTTTCTAGAGCCCAAAGCTCTATGGCATGTGGCAGCCAGCCCTGCTGCTCTGTGCCCCACCCACCTGGGATCTGCTGGAGGGACACAGGGTTCCTCCTGTGCCAGGCTCAACAGCAGATGGACAGCTAAGCTGGGGGCTTATTGACGGTCCCTTAATCCAGGAGAGGGAACTGGGATACCCTTGAGTCACCAGGTACCCCAGCCCCTCCCTGCTCAGCTGTCGCCTCCAGAAAGGCCGTCCTGAGCTGCCATCCTCCACCCGCTCCCTCTTCTCGGATTCATTTCCCCTCTACCCTCCTGCTGGCTGGTGTTCGGAGGACCCCCAGACCGAGCCGTTGGAGATCTCCACGGTGGCTGCTCTTGGCCTGCAGACCTGGCAGCCTCTTGATCTCTCAGGCCTGACTGTTCACTCTTCTGTCACCTCCCCATTGCCTGTCCCTCCCCACTGTGTGCAGGCTTGTTGGGCTCACTGCACAGGTCCACACCTGGCAGGAACACAGTAGGCGCCCAGTGTTTGCTAAAAGGTGAAAGTGGTCCATCAGCTCCAGCCGTGCCCCTGCCTGGGAGGTGGGTCCCAGGGCTGCGCTCCCTGCCTGGCACCAGGGTGAGCGGTCCTGCTCCCTGCCCCAGGTGGGCCCGGCTGGGTCACAGTTCGGCCTCCTCGCCTGCCTCTTCGTGGAGCTCTTCCAGAGCTGGCAGCTGCTGGAGCGGCCCTGGAAGGCCTTCCTCAACCTGTCGGCCATTGTGCTCTTCCTGTTCGTCTGCGGCCTCCTGCCCTGGATCGACAACATCGCCCACATCTTCGGCTTCCTCAGCGGCATGCTGCTGGCCTTTGCCTTCCTGCCCTACATCACGTTCGGCACCAGCGACAAGTACCGCAAGCGGGCGCTCATCCTGGTCTCGCTGCTGGTCTTCGCCGGCCTCTTCGCCTCCCTGGTGCTCTGGCTCTACATCTACCCCATCAACTGGCCCTGGATCGAGCACCTCACCTGCTTCCCCTTCACCAGCCGCTTCTGTGAGAAGTACGAGCTGGACCAGGTGCTGCACTGACCCCAGCCCAGCAGGCCTGTGCACCTGCCATCCTCTGGGCACTGACAACAAGGGGCTCTGCCTGCGGAGCATTGGGGTCACAAGGGGCTGGGCCCCTGCCTGCAGAGCATTGGGGTCACTGGACCCAGGGCCCACTCCACCTGTCAAGGTGACTGACGGACGTTCGGCAAAGGTGAGCTCCCCGGGAGGGAGACTCTCATTTCTCAGGCCTGTGTTCTTGGTCAGGGGTTAGGGACGCCCAGGACACCTGTTTCTCTGAGGCACGGGCCCTGGCCTCCTCCCCACTCCCTGCTGTAGGGACCACCTACAGCTTCTCCCGGGGGCCCAGGGCCTTCTCCCCATAGTCAGTGTGAGCGCGCCCTCCCTGGACACGTGGCTGCTCCCAGTCGTCCCCAGGGCTGGGGACCCCACCACAGCCCCCCTTCCTGTTTCTCCTCCCCTCTGTGCCCTGAGCCCACTTGAGCCTGTCATAGGCTCCCGGGGAGGGAGGGTCTGTTGGGTGGGGCAGAGAACCAGAAGCAGACACAAGTAGAGGGCCCGGAGCCTTGGCTTGTCTTCCGCCACCCCCACTCCAGCATCCTGCCCTGCAGTTGGCTCTGCTGCCTCTGCCTCACTCCTGGTGGGGGGGACTGAGCTGCCACAAAGTCTTCCTCCCGGGGAGGGTGGGGGCGCCTGGGCTTGCTCAGGCCTGTTTTTTGTTGTTTGTTTGTTTTGTTTTGTTTTGTTTTTTACCAGTTTTATTATGGTCCTAATTTTAAAAAGTAACGCTAACTTTGTATGGATGATGTCTCAAATGTATTAAATGGAACTCTCTATGGAAGTATTTTCCTAACTGAGACCTCAGGGAGAATGAAACCTGGGACTTGGGGGTGAGAGCATCCGCCATGAGCTGTGCAGAGCAGTGGCTTGACCCAAGGGACATAGGAGACTCATGGGACGTCTCGGGATTTAGTTACCAAAATCCAGATTAAGGTCACATAGAAGGCCTTGGTGGGGTCCCCGTGAGGACGGGATTGCATCCTGAGACCCCAGGGGTCCCCACACCAGCCTGCTCTGCCTCTGATCCAGGGTAGTGAGGGACTTTCTGTGCTGAGGGTGGCTTGCTCTGGCAGATGGTTCATCACTCCAAGCAGGGGACAGGTCCACTCACTGTGCCTGTTCCACAGCCACCGCCTGCACACCACACCAAAAAGCCACCAGGGAGGCAGGGGACATAATTGCTTTATTACTAGGGGCAGAGGAGCCAGTGCAGGGGCTGGTGGGTGGCTAAGGAGAGGAGAGAAGCCTGGGGAAGAAGTTGGGGCACAGGGTGCCCAAGGACTGGGTGGGCAGTGGCCCCTGTGGGCTTTACTTCTAGCTACCCCCACTCCAGGGTGGAGGGCAAGAAGGGATATCCACGAGGCTGGGGAGAATAAGGACCCCAAGCATCAGGGTGCCTCACCGAGATAGGAAACGTGGCTGGGACCCGAGAACACCTCCCAGCACTCTCATTTACCAGCCCACTCTCATCTTGAGTCTTGGGCATGGGTTTGGAATGCAAAAGTTCTGGAGGGTCTCATGAGGACACAGCATTCCCTGCTCTGAGCAGCTGGGACCAGGGTGAATCCATCTCCGCTCCTCTGGCCTCTCCCCTGCACGCTGAGTTTGGGAATCACAGTCTCCCTTTATACTCGGTCAGCCTGGGATGGGCCCCGGGCAGAGAAGGGGACCCGGGGACTGAGTGAGCGCCCCCAACCTGCTCCCACCTCTCCTGCAGCCAGGCGCGCAGCCCACTCAGTAGCCGCTGTTCCTGCGCAGGAAGGCCTGGCCCCGCAGGGAGCACTGCAGCTCCGTGAAGGTGAGGGAGCCCACGGTGATGGCGCACGGGCCCACGGCCCGGAAGCCAAACTTCTCGTAGAAGGGCACCAGGACCTCCTCGCACATGAGCACGGCCCTGCGCACTGCTCGTTGACCGCCCAGGTGGTGCAGGTAGCGCCACAGCAGGATGGAGCCCTTGCCCTGCTGCCGGAAGGTGTGGTGCACGGCCAGCACGTGCAGGTGGGCTACACGCCCCCCAGGCCTGTGCAGCCTCAGCGACTCCTGGGGGTGAGCAGGGGCCAGGAGTCCACATCACCTCTGCAGCCAGCTCCCCGCAAACAACCCAACACAGCCCAAGAGCAGGTGTCCCCTGAATGCCTCTGGTCAGGGTTTCCTTCCCACCCAGGAAGGCCCCCAAGTGGTGAGCTACACCCCAGGCCCCGTGGAGGACAATTCAGAGGTTCTTTGGGGCCCCAAAGAGCTGGGCTGGGTGCTCTTCCCTCCGGAGAGGTCTGTGGCTTATACTCCTCTCTGGTTCTGGAAGGAGAAAGTCCCACCCTGGCCAACTTCTATTCCAGAACCTTCTGGAAGCTGGGCATCATAGCTTGTCCCATCCTCACCTGAGTGAGTCTCTCCTCGTCCCAAAGTGAGCCGATGATGAAGGCCACAAGGCGGCCCTCTTCAAACCAGCCCAGGGACAGCTCTGGACACAGGGTCAGGAAGTGCCGGATCTCTTCCAGGTACAGGGGGCAGATGCCCGAGACAGAGATAAAGGCTGCGGCAGGAGGCACAGGTGGGTGACTTGGCGTTCACTATACCACTTGCCCACTGTCTGCCACACCCCCAGTGGTCACTTGTGCACCCCAGGAAAGCAAGTGACTGAGGGCTGTGTTTTCCCCACTCTCTAGAGTGCACACACAAACACACACACACACACACACACACACAGTCTGATCCTCTGGGCTGCAGCCCACAAGGGCAGAGATGCGGGAGAAGACAGCTGGGCAGCTTAGCATGCCCACCAAGACCCCACACTGGACTGCTCACCTTCGCGCTCAATCTCAAACACACTGACTGCGTCCTCCAGCGTGAGGCAGCGGAACTCGCTTGCCGGGAGTGTGTGTCGCCGCTGGCAGCTTGGGGACTCTGAGGCCCCAGGTGGCATGCTCAGGGCCTCAGGTTTCAGGTGGCAGATGCGCTGCATGGACATCCTGGCTGCTGGCATGTCCCTGGATTGCCCCAGCTTCAGAAGTGGCCACCACAGCTGAGAAGGGTCTCCTGGTATCTATCAGGAAAGAGCAAGGATTGGGGGTCTGGTCCTCATCTCCAAGGAGCAGCTCAGAGAGTCTGTGCCTCTGGCCTCTTTTGTAGCTAGACTCAGGTGGAGCCAGCCCCACAAATGACCGGCTCCTTCCTCAGGTGCCTGGCCCTGGAGCCGATTCCAGGAACTGCAAACATTTCTCTCTCTACATCCTCTCGCAACCAGAGTGCACTCCTCGCAGTCCCTCTAAACCTCTGGACTCTGGTCTCACTGCTCTCCGGGTGCATCTGAGCCTCAGGAGACCATGGGAGGGATGGGCAGGGCTCAAAGGAGTCCCCAAGATTGCTGGCCAAGGGAGTCGGGGTGGGGAGGCACATGATCCCCTGGGACCACTTCTGCAACTGTGGGCTGTGTGGGCATCCCCTTCTCCCACACTGCAATTCGATAAGCTTGTCTTACCTGCCCAGATGGAGACCGCTGGTCCGTGGGGGTGAGATCGTGATTCTAGGAGTTTTTTAGGCGGCCTCAGCCCTCAGTCCTGGAAGAAGACCTCTTCATCAAAACAGGCCCTTAGGGAGCCCCCACGTTTACCCAGATGGCCTTAGACTTGACCAGCCCACAAAGAAATGGGGAATGTGGCTGGGTAGAGGGAGACAGGAGCTGCAGAGGGGCAAGAGGAGATGAGCAGGCATGGATGGTGCACAGGATGCCTCCTGCCCCACCCCCAGCTCACTGAACACGCTCATGTGGGGCTTTGCCTTCCTCCCATGACACCCAGCAGATTTGCAGTTGTAGCGGAACCCATCTCTCCCTTTGCCTGCAAAGACGCTTAAAAAGCCCATGGCTGAGAGACGGTGGCAGGAGGCCCACTTACCAAGACCGGGCAGGGACCCCAGCATCCCCTCCACAAAGCTGGTCACCTGGGGCCCATCCCCAGGCACAGGCACCAGGAGAATCCAGGACTCCTGGTGGCAAGGCAGTGGCAGCAGGTGTCCTCCGGCAGCATGTGATGTTCTCAGAGGTTTCTAATCCCCCCAACCCCGCCTCCGCATTACACCAGGCAGGAGAAGACTGAAGGGCCCGGCTGCTTCAGGTTGGCCCTGCTGAGGGCAAGCGTCAGCACTGGCGTGGGGGATGCAGAGGATTAGCAGCAGCCAACTGCGCCCTGGGGTTTGGGAAGAGCATCGGGCTGAGCCCCGGGGTCCAACTCTAATCCCCACTCTGACCCCACTAGGTAGACAAGGCATTCACCCTCCGCTGGCCTCCGCCTCCAAGGGTCCTTCCTGGTCTGGCAGCTTGTGGGTTGTGCTACCATTTATAGTACCACTTGGGGCTGGGCCTTGGGTAAACAGCTCCTGCAAAACACATGCAGCCCCGCCAGGTAAGCGTCAACCCCATCTTCTAGAGAGGGAAACCGAGGCCCAGTCCCACTCCTTCGTGGGCCAGACTGAAGCCTGAAAGCAGGAAGGTTCCCAGAGGCACTTTGCATAAAGCTTCCAAACTGGAAACAACCTAAATAGAACAGGCAACATGTACAGGTGTCCCACCCCGTGCCACCAAGGACACCAGCACATGGAGAGGAGCCACAGGGTGATGCCAGGACGGAGTCCCACCCGCACATTAGGACCAGGATGGTGGCCGCATAGGGGGATCCTGGTAAAGCTACTTAAAAAGTCAGGGGCTTGCTCTCCCACATCTTGACTCCAAAACTCTGACAGCCCATGACCTTGGCTCCGCCTGCTCAGCCAGCACCTGGGGCCCCTCTCTCTGCCCTCATACCCCATCCTGCCTCCCTTCTCTGCCAGCGGCTGCGGGGGCTGCCCCTGTCCCTCCTGCCATCAGCACCCCTGCCCACCCCAGGCTCCCTAGGGCCCAGAGCTCCCGCTACCCACCACAGAGGGTGCCCCTTCTTTACCCAGGATCCTGGGGAGGGACTCAGGTGCCAACCCTGCTTGGCACAGACTCAGACACCCCTTCCCACCCACCAGGTGCCCTTTTTCTGTCTGAGGGGCCTCTTCTCCCTGCGCCACTCCTGTCAGTCCCACCAGAAGCACCCCCACCTCACCCGCCCCCAGGCACTGCTGGAGCTCCTCATGCCGTCCACAGCCTGCTACCCGGTCACTTCCAGCTTTCCCCTGCGGGGAATCCTCAGACTTCTTAGATTGACCAGAGACCTCCTCAGACTTGGCCTTTGGGCCTGGTGGGGCAAACACTCAGGACCTCAATTGGGCACCCCAACTCTAACCCCCAGGATCCCCCAAAAGGCCTTTGTCTCTTGTTAGTCTCCAGCTCCATTGCGCCCCCTGGTGGCTAATTGCAACCATTTGGAGATGCCTCGGGTCCCAGCATCCCTTCCCACAGACCCCGGCCACGGCCCAGTCTCTCTGGTAAACACCTCCAAACACATGGAACCTCAGGGAACAAGATTAGGCATGATCTTTTTATTTTATTTTATTTATTTTTTGGTATCAGGGATTGAACTCAGGGCACTCAACCACTGAGCCACATCCCCAGCCCTATTTTGTATTTTATTTAGAGACAGCGTCTCACTGCTTAAGGTCTCGCCATTGCTGGTTTTGAACTCACCATCCTCCTGCCTCAACCTCCCCAGCTGCTGGGACTATAGGCGTGCACCACTGAGCCTGGCGAGGCAGGACTTTAAACGTGGTTAAGCTGGGAAACCCAAGCTCACAAGGGGCGGGAGAGGAGAGGAGAGGGCAGGGGACGGGAAGACGATGGCCGGGGCCTCCTGGTCAACAGGAAGAAAACACGACGCTGACAATGAGGAGGAAGTGAGCGTGGCCACGGGTGATAAATACAAAGAGCAGGGTGCTGTGAAGCACAGGATCTAAGAAATCTCCTTATCAAGATGATGGCAGTCATCTCCAGCCACTTTAGCTACCCAACCATGTCCCAATGCTGGGGGGCCCCCCCACGAGGGATTGTGACCAGAATCATTGGACCCACGGAGATACTCTCTGAGCAGAACTGCTGGATTCAGAAAATAAAAGTGCAGATGCCCAGTGAAATGTGAATTCCAAATAAGTAATGCACAATCCTTTTAAGTAGAAGTCCGAGCATGCGATGTGGGGAGCATGCTTGAAAGGATGAAATCACCATTTATCTAAAGGACAGGTTCCACAGGGTTCCTGTATTCAATCTGGCAACTCCATTTGCGAGGTCTGGGAAAGGGACCGGGCAGCAGAGAGCGGGTGGAGGGAGCCAGGAAGAAGTTGGAGGCACGTGGTGGCTGTGGGAAAAGGCGTGCTGAGCCTGGGCGGGATGGAGCCTCTGGCCGAAGGGACCTGCTGCTGCAGGTCGTCATATCTGAGGCCCTGCCACTCTCCCTGCTCCACACCAGTGGTTCTCACTGCTGACTGCACGTTGGAATCACTGAGCTTCAAAAAGTTCCAACACGGGGGTCACCCCCAGAGATTCTGCTTTTCAAGTTCCAGGATGGAGCTGGGGAGCTCCCCAGTGACGGCAGTTCGGCCGGGCTGAGAGCAGCCTCTGGTTGTGACTGCATCCTGTGTGTCTTCCTTGTGGGGAGACAGAGTCTCGGCCACCACAGGGGCCTCAGCCCACCGTCGCGCAGAGCTGGGGATCCAGACCTCTTTAGTCCTGGCCACTGTCTGCTAGTGGAGTCTTGGGTAGAGGTCTAGTATATGAAACAAACCAAGAGCCACCGGACTGAAACTGAGCAAGTCATGTGGGTCACCCCGGAGTGCCCTGCCGGGGCGAGGGGGGAGACAGTGTGGATGTCAAAAGGGACCCCTGCAAAACAGCAGGATTCCACAGAGGGGCAGACCCCCTCCAGCACCTGTACCTGCATCCCCGGGGCCCACCCCTCGCTAGCCAGGGATCTGTCTCTTGCACCTTCTCTTCCTGCCTGGGGCTGCCTAGAGGGGGTTCCAAGCTCTGCCCAGGCTCAGGGGGCCAGAGCAAAGTGACATTCCTATAGTGAAACCTGATATGCTAGGAAACCCGGGGTTTCTGCTCTTCATGCCTCACCCCCGCCCCCGACTGACTTCCACCTGTGATTGGCAGGCTTCCCTCCTGATGTGGTCGAGATAGGGTTTGGATATGCCCCCCAAAAGATTCATCTGTTGGAACTTGGTCCTCACTGCAGTAGCGTTGGGAGGCAATGGGACCTTTAAAAGGTGGGTCCTAGTGAGGAGTAATTAAGTCACTGAAGGCACTGCCCTCAGAAGGAATTGATGTAGTTCTCCTAGGACCCTGTTTGTTCTCCTCAGAGAGTTGCAACAGAAGCTCATGCCTGGCCCCTCCCTAGTCTCTTTCTGGCTTGCTTCCTCACCGTAGCATCTCTCATCTCACATATGCCCCCGACATGATGTTATGCTGTCCACAATGTCCTCAACAGAGGACAACCAATCTTGGACTTTCAGTCTCCAAAATTGTGAGCCAAATAAACCTCTTTATTCAGTAATTAACCTCAGGCATTTTGTTACAGCAATGGGACATGAACTAATAATACACCCACCACCTGCTCTAAACAGAGTCTCCAGTGGAAAAATCCAGTGACAATCATGATGCTCCACTTCACTAGGGAGAAATGCCATGGGAAACAATTCAGTGACTCCCTCCCACTGGGAGTGAAAGAGGAAGCTGTTAATAACTACACAGAGGTGCTTGTAAAAACGGAACTGTCCTGTACAAGCACCCCATTCTGCAGGGCTTTGGGTACTGCTGACCATTCCTCCCTCTTGTAACTCCCTTCTTTCCTGGTTCTCCTTATCCAACTTCTTCCGGATTCCTCTTCTGTCTATCTGTTAAGAGTTAGTGTCCCCAGCCAGGCTTGGTAGTGCACGCCTGGAATACCAGAGACTCACAAGCTTGAGGAGGAGGATCACAAGCACAAGGCCACCCTGGGCAACTTAGTGAGGTCCTGCTTCAGAAAAAAAAAAAAAAAAAAAGGCCTGGAGATGTAGCTCAGTGGTAAAATATCCGTATGATACTACAATGGTGGACACGTGTCATTATGCTTTGTCCCACTCAGTGGAAAGAACAGCACCAAAAGTGAAGGCTGATATAAGCTGTTCCCTTTGGGTGGTGCTGTGGCACTGTTCATAGATGGTAATAAATAAACCACTCTGGTCGGGCTGTTGATGGTGGGGTGGTCTACAGGAAATTCAGGAAAACCTATGGACCTTCAGGTAGTATTCAAGAAATCTATGGACCTGCCTTTCAATTTGCTAGGAACCTAAAACTGACTTAAATAATAGAATCCATTTTTTAAAAAGTCGACATCTCTGGGTGTGGTGGCGTACGCCTATAATCCCAGCAACTTGGGAAGTTGAAGCAGGAGGATCCCAAGTTCAAGGCCAGCCTGGGAAACTAGATGAGACCCTGCCTCAAAATAAAAAATAAAGAAGGGGGCTGGGGATGTGGCTCAAGCGGTAGGGCGCCCGCCTGGCATTCGTGGGGCCCGGGTTCGATCCTCAGCACCACATACCAACAAAGATGTTGTGTCCGCCGAGAACTAAAAAATAAATATTAAAATTCTCTCTCTCTCTCTCTCTCTCTCTCTCTCTCTGTCTCCTCTCTCACTCTCTCTTCAAAAAAAATTTTGAAAAAATAAAGAAGGGCTGAGGATGTAGCTCAATGGTAGAGCATCCCTGGGGTCAGTCATCAGTACTAAATAAATAAGTAAATATTAAAAAGTCAATGTCCCCTTCAGGGATGTGTGGATAAGCCAGCCGTGGTAGATGCAGCCGAAGGGCTGTCACTCAGCCATTAGGGGGAGTGAAGTCTGATATAAGCTACAACTTGGAGGAGCCTGGGAAATAAAAGGCAGCGTGTGTCGCCACAGGAAAGCCGAGGTCCTGTCAGAAAAAAAAAACCTTTCAGGGATGCCATGATTGGGGAGAGGAGCAGTTAACAGGAAGAAAGGTGAAAGAGAATGATCAGAACATGTCCCAAAACCCAAGGGACAATGTCTCAGGGTCAGCATCAAATGTGGCCAAGAATGGGGGAAAGAGCTCAGATTCTGAGAACAAGGACTTAGTGACCATTAAGACCTAGTTATTCTGAGAACCTAGTGACCTTTAAGAGTTCTTCCAGGCGAGAGGGATGGGTGGGGAGGTCAGATGCAGGGCAGTGGCCTGTGGTGACAAAGCAGAGATGGCAGGCAGAGGCGGTTTGTTGGGGGCACGCTGACCAGCCTCCTGGCTGGGGGCTGGGGAGGAGCCTGCAGCCCTGCCTTCTCCTGGGTACAGATCCTGCAGCAGCTGGCGTGGGAGCCTGTGCCATGAGACAGTGAGCATCCCCGGGCCAGTGAGGTGGGCTTGTCCCAGGGCCGGAGTGCTTCCTGCATGAGGCCACACCTGCATGTGTCAGCTGCCCGGTTCCCACTCTGGGCCAAGCAGAGTCCACCTGGGGGAGACCCAGAGGCGAGGTCTGTGAAAAACAGGCCCCAGAGCTGTCTGGACGATGCCTTAGGGGAGACCCAGGTTTTCCATGCCCAGCAGCCGAAAGCCCCCTGGGTGGGGAAGACAGCCCTCTGTCCAGGCACTTGT